AAATGCACCAATTCGGCGCTATTGAGAACCACTCTCTCCTGAAGAGGATGAAAAAGCCCGCAGGCTCAACCCAAGTGTTTGGTTAAAAAAAAAAAAAAGACCCAGCATTTTTAGAGTGTAGTAAAATGTTTCAAAAAAAATTCCAAGGACAAGGCACATAACCTACTGACGTGCATTTCTAATTATAATATAGATTAAGAACTAAGCACGGAAACAAAGTCTTTCTGTATTTGAACTTTGTTCAAATAACCCTTACGAAAATTTTTACTATAAAAAAATAAAAAAATAAAAATAAAAATTGGTTATAGTTAAACCATGGTATACACAAATTAACCTTGGTGTTGCTACACTAACCATAGTTTAACCAAGGTATTTGTAAAATTGTGGTTATACAAATGGTAATCAATACACCAAAAATAGATGGTTACTACATGTTCACTATAATAAAACCATGGTTAATTTTCGCAAGGGAATAAACGCTTACTTTCATACCTATTTTCAGTACTAAATTTGGTCCCGTGATGACTTTGTCCCGTGATGAAACATAGATGAACTATGTTTCCGAAATGTAAATGTTTTACTTTAATTTCTCCACTACGCAGCTAACTACTTGGGAGAATGAGCCTCCAACATATTCACTTTCTAACTTTTCAATGTTTATGGTTATAGCACCACTTAATGGTAACAGGCAGCAAATACTCATTCCTAATGTTGCCGCGGTGGTAAAAGTATTATTCAGGTTGAGAACCATCTGTAAACGTCATCTCTCATTCAAACTCGCTCGCTCCCGCTATCTCTTCCAGCTCGTCAGTCCTCTCGCATTGGATTATGGAAAATAGTGCTTCAGCGAGTGTCCATCGGTTGTACACTCGAAATCAGAGAGAATTGTGGGTAAAAAGTAGTTAACGAATGTAGGGAATTAACTCGTTCACTCAGAATTCGGACAGCACTACAAAATGGCCGACACCCGATATAGTGCACTATATATAGGGAGCACTGCAGGGATAGGGAGCGGTTTCGGACACAGCTTATGAATTAAAGTTACGAAACGACTCATGCAAACGTATGCAAACGTCTTTTTGTCGGGTGCTGTTGAATTGGTGAATCATAATTTCGGAGCTCCATTGTTCATGGCTTTTCATAGTCGTGGTGTACGCGCTAGACTCAGAGTCGACCTACTCAGAGTTGATTGAACCAACTCAATTCAGCTGTTCTGAAGGAAACAAGTGCATGAAACTAAGAAGACGGGCATCTACTGGAGACAATAACTGACCAATGAACAAATGAAACACAGGGGTATATGTAGACAGGATAACAAGGACGGCAGAGCTAATTAATTACTATGGAAACAAATGATGGTAACTACGACAACAAACAGGGTAACAATGTAACAAAGGGAAACAGGAACTAAACACAGGAAGGGAACATAGAAACAGAAAACTCTTCAACTTAAAAGTCCTTAAACAAGACAAGGAAACACAATACTGGGATAGTGACAACTTGCGCTAGGTGTATCAGATACAGGGAAAACATTTGCATTGGTTACATAACATCCATGTTAACCCAAGAACAGGAAAATCAGAAGACTATTTGGCTTTGCAAAGTGGGTCTTTGTAATGTTTGAAGTTAACAATTCACTGTCTACATTTTGTAAATGCATTGCGTTACATCATTGTCTATTGAGCAGCAGGACGTGTGACACTTTTAATTTGTCCACAATACTAAAATTGCCAAATATCGTTATTGGCAAAAATATAAAATCTAGTTGATTACATCTGAACTAATTCCAGACGGTCAAGACGGTGCAGAGATAATTAATATTTGTAAGGGTAAAAGAACACTTACACAATTTGTAAATCAAAATTCTAATTTGAATTTCTATACTGTTAATCTTTTGTGGACAATGGGGAATGTAAGGTTGAGCAGTAACTATAGACTTAACATCTGAGACTCAGTTAATTTAGTTGCTCTAAAAGGTAAATTGGCAAACAGCAAAACAGCTAACATCTACACAGACTTCCGTTATGCCCTTGGTGCTGTGCATGACTTGGAAGCAGATTGGCAGCAGAGTGGTTTTCCCACAAACACAGGTGAGACTGAAGGAAGAACCCTTGCTGACCAGGTAGCTGTGGTTGCTGCCACATTCCACATTGCAATTTTTTTCTGGCCCAGCTCCGGTCCACACAACCCCTTTTCCCTTGGCCCAATACCACAAAGAATGACAGCCCAAAAGTAGCCCAGATCTGGATTAAAGATAAGGGCCACATATGGACCATAACTGACCCGAGTCTCAGTCCCGGAGGGACTATTGACCAGCCCGAACAGCATAACCCCTAACTCGTAGTGCCCAGACGCAGTGGAGAAGGCCATTTTCCATTCATCCCCCTCTCGAATACGGATCAGAATCAGATTAAATTACCAATTCAGATGGTGAGCTCGATGAACTGATCCAGAGTTTTACCCTCATTGCGACAGGCGAGTTCAGCTTGTAGCTCCAGATTCAAGCCTTTGCGAAATAGCAGCTTCTCCCCTGTCGAAGTATTAGAATCTGATCGCCTGTGCTGCGACCTCCCTCAGGATGTTTGAATACTTCTCGGAAGCATTGTAAAAAAAACTACTGAATGAGGGGAATGTGGGCCAATCATTGTCCCAGATGGCGGTTGCCCAGTCGAGAGCCTTGCCAGTCAAAAGAGAGCATACAAATGAAATTCGTCTTTCATCTGTGGGATATAACATGGGCTGCAGAGATACAAACAAGGAGCACTGGAGTAAAAATTCCTTACACTTGGCGTGGGATTGGTGATTGAGCTCGCTGAAGGAGAGCTTGTTTCTGGTGCAGGCAGATGCAAGGCTTGCAGTGTCTTTACCAGCTCCTCAGTCAGAGATGTGAGTCGAGTTAACTGTTGTTGGTGGGCAGCTAGCACATTAGCCTGTGCGGAGACCTCCGTCGAGAGTCGGAAAATAGCTGCTGGATAGGTATCAAGCGAAGTCTTCTGTAATGAGGAGTCAACAGATTGAGGATCGATGTGCAGCTTTATTCATAAAAGATCAGCAAAAAGACAGGCAGGGTTAAATCACCAGTAGACAGGGTTATCAGAGGCGAGGCAAAAGCAGAGTCAGAGTACAGGCAGAGGGTCAGGGCAGGCAGCAAACACTACATACAAGAGTCCAAACAACAGAGCAAGGAGATCCAGGCAGCAGCAAGAATTCATGAATCAAGGAACAGTCCAGGGTCAAACACAGTAATCCAACAGAGTAATAGAAGATAACTCTCAGAAATGTCAGCCAGGGTAAAACAAGACTTCACAATGAGCATGGGGAATGGAGGAGCTTAAATAGTCCCGGAAATGAGCAACAGGTGTGCTCGTAATCAGCACCAGGTATGGGTTTATGGGAAATGGAGTCCGTGGGAAAGCTAGTATTCCGGTGAAGGTGCCGATCAGGGGAACCACAGAGGCCTGATTCGTGACAGCTGTATAGTGACGACAGACAAGAGCTTAAAAATGGACACTCATATCAAGCTTGATGAGGATATAGTCAGAGCTTTCAAAGGTACACCGTGGACAGTCAAATAAATTCTAATGCATATCTTGGCAAATTATAATACATATGATATTCAAAAACATCCTTCAAAACCACTGATTAATTATTTTCTCCTCTCACAGACCCTGTGATGAAGCAGTTTTCAAATAACACAGTGTCTGAACTATAAGCCCTCAGTTGCAGAAAATGCAATAAGTCATACTCAAAGAAAGGTGAAGGTGAAGATGGTGACATTTAAATTTTCTGTTTCCTTGTTTGGTTCAGCCATTTGCAGGCTTAACCTGAGTTATTAAAAAATGTTTTGTGTGTGTGTCTGCAAATTGCATTGTGATGCATTTTTATTCAATTATGGAATATTCATTGTGTACTTTACAGTAATACAGGCATAACTGAAATGTTCTACAAATTGATTAAAGTAGTTCTGTCAAAGCATTTCACTGATCTTTATTTTATTATAATTATTTTGCTCAAGAGTTTGTCCTGCTGTATTTTTTTAAATGTACTCAGGGAATTTATTGTTGTAATGTACACAACAAGATATAGTGCATAAAAGTTTTCTAGATTTTAAAGTATGTTCATGTGTGTCATTTTTATTTAATGATTTTTGCACTTTTAAGTATACCATTTTGGATATTGAAATATAGCTTTATAATACACTAATAGTGGCTTTTGTAGTGTACTGGTAATGCATTTCTAATGAGCTGGTATGCTATTGAAAATGTTCTTGAAGCACATTAAAGTGAAGCTTAAAATATATTCTATCTACAGTTATATATAATATAAAATATAATATATAATAATATAAAAGTGGATTTTAAATAAAATGTAAAGAACTGCAATTAAATTACACTGAAGGTACTTAAAGTGGTTTAACTTTAACACAACTAAATATATTAAAATATAATGCAATTAACTTAAAATTGATCTGAATCATATCTTAAATAACACTTAGCATACATTTTCTCAAATTTCTACTTAGCTTTAATTTTATTTTAGTTTTAGTTTTTAATTTTAGAAAAAAATATTCCAGTTAGTTGTCTAGGCAACACATTCTAATTAAAATTTCTTCTTTTTTTCAAGTGTTCCTTCTAATATTTATATTTTATTTTAGCAGTATTTCAGTTAAGGAAAATGTTTTAGCACTGTTTTAGCTGATCTCTCTGCCATACCCCTCTTTTCAGTTCCTGCATTACCATGCATTTTAATATCCCACAATTCACTGAAATACGAGGAAGCAGACACAAGTCAGAACCGCTTGTTTTCAGAGTGAAAAAGCCAGAAGGGAGGGAAGAACAGAGGGAGGGAAAAAAGGAAAAGAGGGAGATAAGTCCAGGGAAAAGGAGAGTGCGTAAAACCTGATTCAGAGAGAGGAAAGAGGTGACAGGAGGAGGGAGAGGAGGAGCAAGAAGACAAGAGACTAGAGGAGCGTTTGAAGGAGAGTGGAGAGCGAGAGAAGGATTGTGGGGTGGACATGGGTCTGTGTGCCGTGCTGTTGATTTGTCTCTCACAGGCAGAGCTGACCAGAGTGTGGGCTCAGGAGCAGAAAGGTAAGACATTATTAAACACACACAGAGATATAATGACTTAACAACATAAGAGACATGCTCGGATTCACTGATATAAACATCATGACCCTCACCCACATACAGAGGCATTTGAGCAGCTCATTTTTTGTGTAATTCCAAACAAACAATACAAACTATTTAATGACAAGCAAATATGTTTATACACAGATATTGATGGGCAAATATTTTAACTGATCTTGTTTGTTTATCTATACTTAACCCTAATGTTCTGTTGAGATTAACTGTTATATTTGGGGTCCCAGAGATCCCAATGATGTATGTATAAAATAATAACTAATTTCAAAATGAATAATTTATTCACACTTCAAATTATTTAAATAAATTTCTCTAACCTAATGAAAATCCAGTAGACTATTTGTTGATTGATTAACGCTTTAACCCTCGGGTGTATCATAAAGTAGGCATGCACTTTAAAATGAATGAATGAACAAACACAAATCAGTCAATCAAATCAAATCAATCAATCAATGTTAACATATAGTAATTTTTGTATAAATGTATGTTCATTTTATAATAAAATAAAGACAATAATATTTTATTATATGTAGATTTCTGATTTATATAAATAATATGTATATAAATCAGAAATCTATTGTTTTTATTTGTACCTTCATGCATTCATATACGCATTTATCCACACATTTGCACAATTCTTGTTTCAGTATTAGCTAAATGGAGTAATTTGGTGATTAATCAGATCCCAGGTGACAGGTGTGTTGAAGCAGGGTTGAAACTGAAGTCTGCAGGGAGGTAGCTTTTCAGGAGCAGGGTTGGAGACCCCTGTAAGTAGAGCACGGCACTAGCAATACCAAGGTCATGTGATCAATTCCCATGCATTAACTAAAAATAAAAGCTTTAATGCAACATAAGCTGCTTTTCAAAGAAGGTTCTGGAATATGTTTCCCATTAGTTTGTCAAACAAAAAGTTCCGCCCAAGACTCACTGTTTTTGTCTTTCAACCTCGCCTCTTTGTCTGCTGAACAACAATGTGTGTTTCTATGCATGTATACCTTCTCATGTTTGGTTCTGGTGTTTCTAAAGAACTTTATGAGTCAGAGAAAATGAATCCATGCATTGGATGCTGAGGTTTGTGTTCTAAAGGCTGGCTCCGCTCATGGAGAATACAAACCAAGCATCCCCCTTCCCAGTCTACATCAACTTTATGTTCAACAGATGTCAATCAGAGAACAGGGAAATAGCAATACAATGTTTCTGGGTCATGCAACATGGGGGTTTAGCAACAAAACGCCCCCTGTTGGCCAGGGTTAGAAGTTTTCATATTTCATTCAAGCATTCACAGAAGTGTCAAAAGACCAAGGTCATGTAAACCATGTGCAAACATAAAGAACATAAAGAACAGTCCTACACATCAGCTTGGCCTTTTTAATACTTTACACTTATATTCTTTCTCTCTCTTTTTTTTAATGGCACACACGCTATGTGTGTGTGTGTGTATTTCTGTCCTCCTTGGAGATACTGTATTTTTAGAGGGCCTGGTTCTTCTCTCTGGCAGGCAGCACTGCTCTACTTTCAGTGGCCTCTCTGTCCCTCCCACAAATCCCTTCTTTCTTGTCCCTTTGAGACATGTATATGTGTGCATGATATACTGAGTGTGAGATACAACAAAATCTGTTACAGACAGTTAATGAACAAGTGAGGATAATGGCTGTGTTTGAGCATGACCCTAAAAATGAAAAAAAAAAAAAAAACACTCTATTCATGTACAGAAATGTAATAATTAAGTGTAAAATAACACTGCATAGTTTTAATTGTATAAAATAAATTTAGATTAATCTTTGTTAAAGCTGTGTTTTGTTGTTTGATTAACATTAGTGACCGGGGCGGTTTCTTCATTTGGGTGATTGGGCGACACACCACCAACGTGCGAAAGTTGAGGAATTTTTTTTCTATCACAGCTGTCACTGTTCTAGACTGCTTGTTCTGCCTCTGGATATATAGTCCAATCAGCATCAAGTCACGTTCTGTGTGGGAGTACCTCCCCATTTTGGGCGATTTCACTCTGGCCGAGAATCGCCCAGACTGTTCTCATAAGCTGTGTCCAAAAGTTAAGTGCGCACACTCCGAAGGCCACGCCTCCAAAGTGCACAAAGGACCCTCCGAAGTGCATGAAGGATGCTCCACCTTCGTAGAATTTCCTAAATGCGCCACCAGGGGTTCCCGATTACCACTCTGTCGCATAGAAACTGTGCGAGAAGACAGCTGCCATTCTTACAGGACAGGTGGAGCCAGTATTGCTCATTTTTGTTTTTATGATTTACGTGATAATGGAGGAGACGGTGATGTACCTCAGGCTTAGCCAAGACCGAGGACAGGTAAGTTACACTGGTTTGCTGCGTCTATAATTGCCGGATTACAACTTTAAATGCAGGTATTGGCTTGGAGCTTACTTGAATAATGTAATAATAATAATATGTATCAACATATAAAAAACTACAAAACACACACAGACATACACACACACACACACAAACACACACACAACATGATGCATTGTTGGAGATTAAACTACCCAACAGTATATAAAGTAAGCAACTTTAAATTACGAGTATGCAAGATGCAAGATAATACTTTTAATTAGAGGATAGTTAACTAAAAATGAAAATTCTGTAATCATTTACTCACCCTAAAGTTGTTCCAGGTTTGGAATTTTCATTTTTGGGTGAACTATCCCTTTAGGTAAGGTTTTAAATATGACTAGTAGTTTTTCCCCAATGTGGTATTAGTAGTTACTACAAGTGGTTTACTAAAGTATCTCAATATTTTTTCTACCAATTACTTTGCCATAGCTCTAAACAATTTATCTTTTCCTTCTTTCCCTAAATCAGACCAGACCCCTGTACTGCAGGATAAAGCTGAATGTGCCAGTGCTGGACAGGTTTTTAACGGTTTTCGGCTGAGCAGGGAGGTCCTGACAGTGCTGCTGGATCTTTGGAGAAGTGAACGGCAACAGTGATGGGGTGCCACAATCCAGACCCTGGTGTTTCTTTTCTGTCTGGCCAGTGGTACATCATACAGAGTGGTCTCCAGAGTGTTTGACATGTCTCATTCCACTGTCCACTGGATTGTCCTCCGAGTCGCTGAGGAGGTGCTGGCCATTTACCACCAAGAGATTCACCTCCTGAAGACCCCAGAACACATGGAGGCATGGCTGGGCTCAAAATGTATGTTGTTTTTCTGATGTTAAACCTAAGTTATGTTGTAAATAGTTGTAAAAGGTACTTTCAGTAATGTATAGAACAATTTGTTTTAATGTGTAAAACAAATTTTTACAGGACAAAAAAATAAACGTACAGAAGAATATTTTGTAAACTGCATAAAAAAATGTATGTACATAACAATTACTTCTCTTTCATTTACACATGTGAATATGCATAACAAAAAATACAAAATGTACAGAACGTACTCAAATTTATTTACAAATAAATTACATTACAAAGATGAATAACGTATACGACTTACCATTTCTTTTTTAACTTACATCACAAAAAGAAACTACAGAAATGAGGTTGTTTCATTGACAATGTGACATAAAAAAGATATTGAACAATTTTATTGTACCCATTTTTTCCACTGTTTTCTCTTCTTGAGAGATGGGTTAATAATTTATTGTAATAATAATTTATTTATTATCTCTCCATTCTCTCCTGTGCTCTTCTCTCCTCTGTCTCTCTCTGGAATTTGATGTCCTCCCTGAGCATCTCCACCAGCTTCCACTCACTCCCTCACCTGTCCCAGGACACTTGCGATCGTAAGGGAGAGCAAATAAACCATGCCTGTTAACAACAACAGTACAATGAATTTCAGCAAAAAATGTGTTTATTATCTTGCTTACAAGCAGCAGGCCCATATTCTCCAGAATAGTCCTAAAACAAGAGAAAATGGAAACACTAAATAAAAAATATTTAGACAGTGGTGAAATCTTTGAAAATATGTACAATATATTTAAAACATATGTAAAAATTGGTGCAATAAAAATATTATGGATCCCCGCACATGGCACGCAGGAAAAAAATTGTAGGCTAAATTGTGTGCACAATTTACTATTTTGTTTCCTCGATTTATAAATTGTGCGCACGATTTACTAATTTGTTCCCTCGATTTGCTAAATCGTGCACACGATTTATAAATCGAGAGAACAAATTTGTAAATTGTGCGCACGATTTAGCAAATCGGGGGAACGAAATAGTAATTGTGTGCACATTTTAGTATATCGAGGGAACGAATTAGTAAATCGTGCGCACAATTCATGCATACAAAATACTGAAGTGCTCAAGTTTGGTGAAAACATTTGTAGACATATCTTGCATGACAGCACTACAAAAACACAACAAAGGGAAAGCCTTATATAGTGGTTGTCTTATTGTTTGTGGGCTTTGTGTAAAAAAAAAAAAACCTGGCTTTTAACAATTTCGCTACGTATTTGAATAAATCAAAACACAATACTTACATTTAAATGTGAATTCCCACACAGAACTCTCACCTGCCATGTTCTTTGAATATAAATTCCATCGTCATCTGCGCGCAATTGATTCTGGGATATGGTAGGATGCGAAGTGTCCATCAGATGTACACTTCATTTTCCTGGGAAACGGAGCTCACATTTGAAGTCGCTTTCGAATTACGGCAGCCTTCGTCACGCCGCAGTGACGCAATCGGCCTTGGAATGCTTCAGGGTTGCTTTCCAGTTCACTTTTTTATGCCCTTCACTCGCTAACTTCCCTTCGTCTCGTTTACTCGGATGTACGTCATTGATTACGCTGCATGAGTGCCCACTACTGGCGGATCCCTTGGAATGGGCTGAATTGGAATGTCCTAAGCCCTTGATCTCTTAGAATCCGCTATGGAGTTGGTTTATTGTTTACGTTTCCCCTTACGAATTTGTTTGGTGCAGCATTCTATATATATATAGAGATATGCTTGGGCAGTTATAAATGTAAAAA